TATTGCGTTTAATCAGTATCATCTGGCCCATCAACACTTTCATTGCAACTTTGCAAGTGTAACAGATCCATTATAAGGAAAATAATCTTTGATACCGGAAATACATGGTACTAAAAAAAGCTTTGAACAATCAAAGCACCCTGTGAATTTTGAAGAGTATCACATTATTGGTCACCCCTTTTATGTTATTATTTGATTGGAGCCTGATTCTTCTGCAAAGTAAAAATTTTATGCACATAGCATCTAGCCACATATTGGGAATATTTCCTGCAAATGTCTATTAAATTCATGGGGAGATGTTTCAAATATGTGACTGAATTCTCATATTTTTACAATGTGCAGAGTTTTTGCTTGCAGAGAATTCCATCGCAGTTGACTGGCTATAAGTTTTTCTGATATCATATCTTTCCAGTATCATAGTTGAATCCATTATAAATTAGCTGTTTGATTTAATCAAGCCTTATTAGGTCAGGCCCGATCGTCCCAATGACTAATTGGTTCGTTACTGACTCTAATTTTATAGAACCATTAGGGTCTGGTTTGATCCTAAGTCTACCTATTCTAACTATCAGTTTGCGACCTTCTACCATGTTCCAAGGCAGACCTGACCCATTCACAGCCCCCTATGCGATGCACTAGAATATATCTCTATACTTACTGCATAGGACACCAATTAAGTTACAGGTCATTGGACTGTTTCTTCGAATGGGTAGAAAGGAGGAACCTTTTAATTTGACATTTCCCTCCAAACCCCAATCTTATCTATAGTAAAAACGTCTTACAATACAACTTATAACATTCTCAACCAATCTAAAAAAATGACGTTAGAACTCAAAATGCCTGGTTAGTACTGGTGTGAAGCATTCCAATAACCATGGTACCAAATATCACCTAAGTATGTGTTTTGAGAGGACACCATTATGACATATATCTTGGAGATCAAGAATTAAGGTGCAACTAGGGTTGGCCAAGTTAACATTTTACATTGCTTCAGGTTTGGGCCTTAAGTCGGGTCCATTCAAATTTTGATAAAGACCCAATCCATATTCACCCGTGGGACAGGGATGGGGTTCCTGCGGGGCAAGGAGTGCTCTCCCCATCCCCGTGCTGTTCCTGCCAACAAAGATGAAAATTTCCCCGTYTTCATCCCAGGGGAAAATCATCCCCATCTCTACCCCATCCAGGGCAGATGCCCATGGGTATTGGAGAAATGAGAAAAATTGCCATTCCTATATTTGATAAATAACTCTATTTAAWATTATTTATTGCTATTTTTGTTTTATAAAAAAATATTAAAAATAGTATATAAAATGTAAATAATTATTAATATTATATAAAACAATTGTATAGTATTACATGTTTTTATTATTTATCTTTAAATTAACAAGTTGGCTGCATAGAACGTCTCACATGACTTGAATTATACTTATTCCAAATTCCAATATATAATTTGATTCACACACGTCCGTAGTTTATTTCAATTSTCAGGTCTTTCAATGGCTTTGGGAGCAGGCATTCATCTCCTCAATTTTTTATTGTTGTTGCTACCGCTACCTAGCATGGGCCAAATTTACCGTAACATAAGCTTGGGTTCATCTCTTTATGCTGATAAGTCTTTAACATGGACCTCACCGTCTGGGGAGTTTGCCTTTGGCTTCAAGGCTATCGGTACAAGTAGAGATTTCCTACTTGCCATCTGGTTCGACAAATTACCTGATAAGACCATAGTTTGGTCTGCCAATCGGAACAATCTGGTACAGCGGGGATCAAAAGTTCAACTGACAACAGATGGGCGCCTAGTCCTCAACGACTCCAAAGGTCGAGAGGTATGGAAGGCCGAATTCAGCAAGGAGGTAGCAGCAATCTACGCAGCCATGCTTGACAATGGGAACTTTRTGCTAGCAGACCAAAATTCTAGTACAATATGGGCGAGCTTTGGTTTTCCCACTGACACCATGCTTCCTACACAGACATTAGAAAAGGAGAGTCGTCTTGTTTCTGGTCGGTCAGAAACGAACTTTTCAAAAGGGAGGTTCCATCTCCATATGCAGAATGATGGTAATCTTGTGCTCACCAGAACAGCTTTCCCACTTGATGTGTCTTACAATGATTATTGGCTAAGTAACACAACAGAAACAGGTTCTCGATTGGTCTTCAATGAAACTGGTTACATTTTCATTATACAAACAAATGGAAGTGCACTACTGCTTAATCCCATATCAGCAAACACAGTTTCGACAAGAGACTTCTACCAAAGAGCCACACTTGATTGTGATGGAGTTTTCAGGTATTATGTCTACCCAAAACCCACCGCCCCAACTGACGGTCGATGGCCCAATTCCTGGACCCCTATTTGGTTTATACCCGATAATATCTGCTTACAAATTTTTGGGCCCTATGGCAGTGGCGCTTGTGGGTTTAACAGCTATTGCAGACTAGATGATTACCAGAAAACTTATTGTGAATGCCCACCTGGGTACACCTTTATAAATCCAAACAACCGGTGGGATGGATGCATACAGAACTTTTCCTCACCATGCTTTGAAGAAGGATCTCAAGAAGCTTCGCATTATGAATTGATACAAATGCCTAACACCGATTGGCCATTGTCCGATTTTGAGGACTTCTCACCAGTAAATGAAGACTGGTGCAGAGAAGTATGCTTGAACGATTGTTTCTGTGCTGTTGCCATATTTAGAGATGGCCATTGTTGGGAAAAGAAGCTTCCACTTGGAATGGGAAGGGTTGACCCAGTGGTTGGGGGAAAAGCTCTCATCAAAGTTCCTAAAAGTAAGTCTTCCTTAAAGGCTTCAGAAAAGAATGATCGTCACTCGCCTTTGATCCTGACAAGCTCATTGCTTCTGGGTGGATCCGTGTCTCTTTTACTACTAGCTTTTTTTCTGGTTACTCGCCACTTATACCGTAGGAGATTGCAGAAACCTCAGCCATATCATTCTATGCCAAGATTGAATCTACGAAATTTCACTTTCAAAGAGCTGCAAGAAGCTACAGATGGTTTTAAGGATCTGATTGGTACTGGTGCTTTTGCAACAGTTTATAAAGGAGCCTTAGAAACTAGTAATTTACTAAACTTTGTTGCAGTAAAGAAGCTAGACAAATTGGTGAGGGAAAATCAGAAGGAATTTGATGCCGAAGTAAGTGCAATAGGTAGAACGAATCATAAGAATCTAGTCCAACTACTGGGATTCTGTAACGAGGGACAACATCGTCTTCTAGTATATGAGTTTATGAACAATGGCTCTTTAGCAACCTTTCTCTTTGGAAGCTCAAGGCCTAACTGGAACCAAAGACTTCGAATTGCATTCGGGATTGCAAGAGGGCTCACATACCTCCATGAAGGGTGCAAAACCCAAATTATCCATTGCGACATCAAGCCTCAAAACATCCTTCTAGACGACTCTTTTACAGCAAGAATCTCCGATTTTGGGTTAGCAAAGCTTTTGAAAGCTGATCAGACCCAAACTGATACAGGCATCAGGGGGACCAAAGGATATGTTGCTCCAGAATGGTTCAAGCATACGACCATTACAACGAAGGTAGATGTTTTCAGCTATGGTGTCATGTTACTAGAGCTTCTTTGTTGCAGGAGGAACATTGAACCAAAGCTGGAAGATGAAAACAAGGTGATACTGATAGACTGGGCTTATGATTGCTACAAGGAAGGAAGACTTGATATGTTAGTGGAGAATGATGAGGAGGCAATGGACGATATGAAGGGGCTGGAGAAGTTTGTGAGAATCGCATTATGGTGCATTCAGGAGGATCCAACACAGAGACCCACCATGAAGAAGGTAACACAGATGCTAGAAGGAGCCATTGGAGTTTCTATCCCACCATGCCCTTCCTCAGTCACTAGTTCAATTTAATAAAACAACACTTGCATTATTCATGGATATTTATGTATTTATAGGAGGACTACTACTCATATCAATTGCACTAATTAAAAGGCCTCTCTCTTTCTCTCTTTCTCTCTCTCTCTCTTACTTAAAGAAATTAAGGTTCTTTTTTCTTTGATAGCAAAAGATGAGCTACACAAATCTGGGGGTAGCTCTTTCCCTTATATTCACATCGCAAATAAAAAGAAAATCACTAAACCTAGAAGCACTATTACTCTCGACTGTTAAGAGCTTACGAGCTAACCAGTCTGCGGCTTGATTTGCTTCCCGATACGCACACTTGAATTTGAATATTCAAGTTGAAAAAGTCAACTAGGATYCAGCATTCTTTGATGACACTTTCCATTCTCCATGGAGGCGATAATCTACCATTGAGGTAGTCGATTACAAACTTAGAGTCACCTTCGACAACGATTTTCTGATCCCTGTAGTTAATAGCCATATTATGGCCTCCTAATGCGAGGTTGATAGTCAATATTCCTATTCCTATTCCAATTCCAATAGCTTTAGACTCTAGTACTTTGCCTTGATGGTTCCTAGCTATACAACCAATTGCACATTTACCAAAATTCAAGCAAGAGGCATCAAAGTTAATTTTGATACCGTTGAGTTTGGGCCTGAACCACTCAACATGGGTTAACAGTTTTCTGTTGTTGTTAACCAAACAAGCGGATACCTCTTTAATCTCATTCCAGTAGGTAAGGCTCTATTAATGATGGTCTTCGCATCGCTAATGGGACCATTAAAACACTTACTGTTTCTATTCTTCCAAATGAACCAAGAGACACAAGCAAATTTCTCTTTAATGTAGCTGTCTTTAAAGTTACCAAAAGGTTTGCATAAAATAGCCCACCACCTATCCATAGAGTAAGAGGAGCCCACAGGAATCGGCAACTCCCCCGAGAGGCTACTCCAGACTTGTTTAGCCACAATACAATTAATAAAAATGTGGTCGATATTTTCAACTTCCCCACAACAAACACAAGTAGAATCCAGTCCAATATCCCTAGAAATGAGGTTGTTTTTTGTAGGAAATTTATTATTAAGTAAAAAGAATAGGAAAATTTTAATTTTTGAAGGAAGCATGAGCTTCCAAAAATTTTTTTGATAACCAAAAGCAATATCCGCACCACCATTAAAAAGACACTCCTCCTTATAGGCCGATTTAACAGAGAAGTTTCCATCAGGAATGAACTTCCAAACTCTTTTATCTCCAAGATCCTCATGGGGAATTAATATAAGTTTTATAAGTTGCCACGCCTGGTGGTTGACAAATGAAATAATGCTATTCTCTTTCAAAATCAATTACCCTACTAACCATCATATCCTCATCAATAGGATCACTACTGTCTCTCAATTCAATCATTGGGTCTTCTCCAGCCCAAGAATCCATCCAAAAATTCACAATCCTACCGTTGCCAATTCTCCACATAGAACCCCTTTTAATAAGATCCATTGAACTCATAATACCTCTTCAGGCCCAAGACCATATTTTCTTTTTATTTGCATTCCAAAAATTACTGTTCCTAAGATATTAATCATTTACCACCTTGACTCAAAGATTATCTTGACAATTTAAAAATTTCTACCCTATTTTAGCAAGAAAAGCTTTATTTAGCCATTTGAAATTTTTCACACCTAGTCCACCCCACATTTTGGGAGTACAAATCCTACTCCAGTGAACAAGATAAATGGGGTTTCGGCAACTCTCTTTTTCCAAAGAAAATCCCCTCTGTCTTTTTCTAAATCAGCATCAACACTACTTGATTCTATAAACACCAAAGCACTGCAAACAAGTCATCAATTCAAACATGATTATTTAATGCGGTCCCATTAATATTAACTATTTAGTCCAAACTCCAACTTTAATACATGATATGGGTTTCGTTATGTATAATTAATCAAATATTTCCTTAAATTCTGGATCAGAAGGCCTGAAAGTCTAAGCAAGGTATCAAAACATTATCGGGACACCTCTCCTCAACCAAATAAAGCATATTAGGATCGTTTTCTTAGAAACTAGAGAATCATATTTTAACAGAATTTATGTAAACAGGCAGTGATTATTGCTGCATGCAAATATCGCAATTAAAAACACTTATTTTAATTCTATATCTGATGTCTTGTAACAACATGCAAACTCGCCTAGATTGGCTTCAGTGAAGTAGGTTGACCCTGGCCCAATAGGCAAATTGAGTAGACCTTTTTTAACGATGGTAAAGGTAAATGGATTCTGTATTTCTGTTATGATGAACATTAAGATTATTTTAGTCAAATTTCCTGCAATTAATGTCTGAGTTTTGTTAAGGAAAATTGAAGCAAAGAGGCTTATGATATTTTTAATCGGACATCCAACCCAAACATTATTTTTAAGAACACATTACCTGCAAACCTGGTATTGCAGAACAGCTCAATGACCCTCCAGTGAATACTGGAGACGTCAGTGTTGGGTGAAAAAGACAAAATATAACATCAAATCAGTGCCTAATTAAAACACTGGCGTGTTAAAAAATTAGTGGAGGATCGTTGAGTTATTCTATGACGCTGATAGTAGATAATGTTTTTTTTATGATTGAGTAGGGATGGCAATTTTCTCACGTAAAATGGGTCCCCTCCCCGCCCTGTCCCGAACGGGGTGGGTTTTTCCCGATCCTAAACAATGATAGGGCGGGGACGGGGAAAATAATTTTTTCCCGAATTGGGTATGGGGCGGGGGCAGGTTTTGTATATAATTCCCTGAACCCACCCCAAACCCAAAGGTAAATTAGTAAAATATATCTAGGTTTAATATTGATATTTGATGGATGATGATTTGCCCCAATCTCATCATAGGGGGACACGTGGATGTGACTTAGCATAAGTGACAGCTCAGCGGGACCAGTCCGCCAAGATCGAGCATGGCAGCTCGGTACCAGATGACACTCCGATTATCCCAAGCTCCTCCCAAGTAAAGGAGCCCCCGAGCTCCTCCTCAAGAAGGGAACACCCCGAGCTAAGATTCTTCCACGGAAGCATCCCGAGCCAAGGTACTCAAAGATAGGAATCTCCCGAGCTCAAGGCACTTCGGGGTGAGCTCTAAAGCCTCCTAATAAATTTATTCTAACTCAGACCTAAGTAGGCCACCTCGGATAGAATCACCTCAATATGGCACCTGCAGCTCGACACAGGGTAGCTCGGTGCAAGGTAGCTCGCAGGAAGACAGCTCGGAGTATCACAGGAAGATCTCCCCTAACAACCGTACCTGCCAAATCTGGAACCCTGCACCCATGTCTCTCGCCAGGCGGCATCGTGCCTGCCAAACTTGAGAGGTGTCCCCCGCTTGACAGAGTCGTACCCTGCAACAGTGACCTGCGCAGCCTTAGCAAGTAACAACTGCGGTTGAGAATCAGAGGCAGTTATGTCAGATTTGACAGGGCACCATTATATAAGAACTCCAACCCCCAGAGAGAAAAGGTAATTGCGAACTGCGCATCTCCACTCTTAGCTTAGTTCTCTGCAACTTTCTCAGCTCCCCAAGTTCTAACTTAGGCATCGGAGTGTTCCCGCCGGGAGAGCTCCCCGGGAATCCTTCACCCTCTTCCTCGCAAGTATCTTATCCGACGCCAGATAGGAGCATAGCCTTTGCCAAGTAGGAGTGACCAGATTGCGCACCATCAATATTTAAAATATCTCTAAGTTTTCCTTAAATTTTTAAAATCCTATGATCACATAATTTTATTTTTGAATTATCCCTAAAGTATTATAATTCAAATTCTAAAATACCCCCAAATTCCTATATCTATTTATAAATTGTCCATAAAATAGATATTTTTTAAATAATTGCCTTGGAGCGAGGAAAATTTGGGGATTCCCCATCGCCGATAGGGAATGGATGCCCCACCCCGAACCTGCCCTACCACCAGGGCGGGTATGGGGCAAGGTGTCATGACTTCGAGGCAGGGATGGGGAGGTGGTGCGTCGCCCCAAACCCGTCACATTGCCATTCCTATGTTTGAGCACCTAAAGTCTACTACTCCAAATTTATTGGGATTTTCATGGCGATCAAGGGATGCAATGAGCTTTACTCGTTCGAGCTCATGTTAGCAGCTTATTGCAGCCTATCTGATTTAAGTCGA